ATGAAAAATTGAAGACTAGTGTTAAAGTTTAAGGGAAAGTTCAGAAGAAAGCAGCTTGTCTGGACAGCCTCACTTCACTTCAAATTCTTGGAAGCTATTAAGAAACTTGGCCTTCACAGTAAGTAATGCACATATATGGCCCATCTTAATTGTTAGTCCTACATATTTGTACATCCATCACCTCATCATAAAAACTAAGAGCCCGTTTGGTACCAAAATCGTCTGAATCGGGTGATCATGTTGAAATTTATGAAATTCTGGCTGAAGTGGATGTATTGGCTGCTTCTGATGATTTATGAAATTTATTAATAAAATAAAGAAAAAGTTATATGTAAAAATAACTAAAATGATCATCTACAGTAACTTCAGCCAATACAGCCAGAAAAGTAATTTCAACCTTACTTTTTCTTATTATTACACATTTCAGTGCGCGGCATCAAAAGTTACGTGTTTGGTGAAAAAGTTGGCTGATAAGCCTGATAAGCCGAAAAAAAGGTTTACCAAACAGGCTCTAAATTTCCCAAAATTTAAAAATAGGGAAAGTTCACGATATAGGACTAAAGTTTGAAAATTCCAAAATAGGACTGCCATGTTTTTTATTCCCAAAATAGGAGTAATTACTGCCAAGTTTGGAAAATACTGTTATGTTTGAATTCTGGTACTGCCAAATCATGGCAGTAATTAGTTTTATTTTGGGAATAAAACATGTCAGTCTTATTTTGGAATTTTCAAACATTTTTAGTCCTATTTCGGGTATTAGTGCTTAAAAATAAGCAAATTCTTACAAAAAGAGTAATACTTTTATGGGAACTTTTATCTAAGTAGAAGTATATCAATGTCATGTTAAAGTTGTAGTGACGCATTTTGACATTAACACACATTAATATAACAAATATTAATGGGATATTGTGATATAATCGATGGATAATTATTCCTATTTTGAATTGTTAATTTACGAAAAAAGGAGTTCGTATACACACCCCAAAAGGCCAAAACGTCGTAGTTTTGATCATTTTTTATAATAAAAAAATCCCGTGGAAAATACACGCGTGAACCGTACACGCGTATACATTATTTTTTTTTTTATTTTCGTCCTAGTAGCATGAATGATGTAACTTGTGCATAATTAGATGTAACTCGCTTTGATACAAATGTGACTTCAGTTAACAACAAATGTAACTTGTGCCCCCGAAATGTAACTCATGTTTAATGAAAAAAAGGAGTCTAATGATTCAATTATTTTACGAGCCCGTTTGGTGATCCCTTTTTTCGGCTTATCAGGCTTATCAGCCAATTTTTTCACCAAATGATTTAATGAAACATATACTACTACGTACTTAATATTTTGGTTCTATTTATACAATTTAACACTCTTTTCACTTTGTTTTATTATGGAATTTTATTATCAGACTTATTAGTCAACTTTTTTTGCTGAACATGGAACTTTTGATTTTGCGCATTGAATATTGTAATAATAAGAAATAACTAGGTTGACTTACTTTTCTGACTATATTGGTTGAAGTTACAGTAGATAATCAGTTTAGCTATTTTTAAATGATTTTTTCTTTATTTTATTAATAATATACGTAATATATTTTAAATTTAAGTTTTTCATAAATCATCATAATCAACCAATCCAACCACTCCAGCCAAAACATCATAAATTTCAGCGGAATCAATCAATACAACTGATTTTGGTATTACCAAACGGACTTTAGAAGTCAGATGTTTTTGCACTGATGCAATTGTTTAAACTAGGATTGGGGGAAAACTCCCGACTCCCGACTCCCGATCCCGATCCCGACAATCCCAATCCCGATATTCCCGATCCCGACAATCCCGATCCTGACTAGTCGGGAATTTTTCCCGATACCGACTACGTCGGGACGGGACCGGGATTTTTTTTTTTAAAAAAGTTGGGATCGGGAAAATCCCGACATCCCGACATTATATATATATATATATATAATTATATATGAATATATAAAAAATGAATATACATTTATAAAAAACGAATATGTATCTAAATATTTGCATATCTTTTTTAATTACTTATTCCTTACATAGATTAATCTTTTACTATGAGTATCTTACAATATCAAACTTCTAAAACTATTCGGCATTTGTCCGAATATGAATATTCGGGATCCTAACCAAATAGAGATTATTCTTGACCCCGACAATCTAAATCACTACAATATTACAAATTTTGCGGTTCTGATGAACTCTTTAAAAAATCATGATTAAGACTAAGATTTCTTTCTTTAGTAAATAATCATAATATGTATTTATACACTATATTCATTGATCACAAAGTTTCTCAATGAGTCTACTTAGTTTTGAATTTTAAATAATATACATTACACATCCTTCTTTTAGTGACTTTTATATAATGTTTGAAGTAAGTTTCACTAAGCCTTGATAGCTTATTAAAAAATTATACTATTAATTAATTGAAGTTACAAATAAAAATTATTCTAAAAGTATGTACTAGTGTGAATTTGAGATGATAATTATTACAATAAATTTTATTAGTAGATGATGATAAATATAGTATAACAATGAACATAGAATAATCTTGAAACCACCAAATATCGAAGTTAGTGTTTAACTAAAGAAATTACATAATTTTATGTTTGATACTTCATTGTTGGGATTGAGCGGGATTAAGCGGGATTTCCGATTGGGATCCCGACTTAATCAGGATTTTAATGTCGGGATCCCGACTTAATCGGGACGAGATACTGGATCCTCTTGTAGTTTGAATCGGGATCGGGACGGGATCGGGATCGGGACGGGATCGGGATTTGGGCAATCGGGATCGGGATCATCCCGATCCCACCCCTAGTTTAAACTAACTTCAATTCTATATAATACTCAAATTTATTTCTCTAGCACTTCTATTATTTCCTCGAAATAATTACATAAACATGACCAAAATAAAGATGATTTACAAAAATATGATTCATTACTAGAGTAGTAATGAAATCATAGTAATTCATGTTCAAGATTTGAACTTTAGTTACCACAGCACTACGCTGTAGTAATGAATAGTCATATTTATGTAAATAAGTTTTATTTTAGTAATATTCTCGTAAAAAACCCTATTTCCTCAAACTTGTGGAAAAGTAACCAGAACATTTTAATTTGTCATTTTAGATTTGCACATGTAATTCAAATTTATCAAATTATAAAGTTAATGTAAGTTGAGGAGTAACGATTACTTATCCATATTTTTAGAACAATTTTTGTCGAGGCCTTTGTGTGTCGCAGCCGTTTCTTCAACGTTTTTGGAATCGCAAGTATCCTTGACCGTTTTGAGATATGAAAACCGATTCTGATTCTGCTTTTGCTTTAAAAAAGAAGCAGAAGCAGAATCAGTTCCAAACACCCCTATGGGTGTTTGGAGATTTGGAGATTTGAACTGAAGGTTTGAGCATCACATTGCATATGTATTGGTTTTATGCTTATGTTCATTGATTCATGATATCCCATCAACTCTACTACTACTCTAGCTTTTTTTTTATGCCAGAAAAGTTACTCGTAATATTTTTATTTTCCCATCAATCCTAGGTAGATATCATTTCAAAAAAATTATAATGATATCCATTTCTTGTATATATGGAGTCATCCATGACCCGTTCCCCTTCTAAACTATCACCACGAGGTGGATGGGTTACGTAAGATTAGAAGACCGCATTTGACTTTCATCAAATGAACGAGTATATGATTGAAAAATGTTGACCTTTTTAAGTTAATGGGATTAGATCTAATGAATCAACGGATTCATTCAGCTATTATGTATTTATTTATGTGGTCTCACTTTTATGAATTTTTGTGTTTGTGCGAATGATTGACAATCTGCTAGTTCCGATGTTGTTAAAGCTATGAGAATCTATAATTCTATATGATCAATGATAGCTACTTTTATGTTGCTCTATCAAGAATGACCACATCTGTGTATGATCATAGAAGTATTAGTTGTTGGACGAAGAGAGTTGTAGTCTATATTGGGTTTTCAAATATGATATAATGATCTTTAATCTAATGATATCAATATGATTTCCAATAATAAAAACTTTTGCAGGTATATATATTTTCTTTCTAGTATTGTTAGCATAAAATGGAAACATGATATTGTAAAAAAGGATGTTAGTCAATTATTGGTATTTATTATACTTTATTCTTTTCATTTTATGCTTTGTTGCTAAATCTATTGTAGTGATAAAAATCCCTAGAGAAATACAAATCCCGAGTAAAAACGTTAATATTGTCATTAATGGCAGTAAACACTATCATGTTAATGTTTGAAAATCACATAGGCGACTTTTAATACCATATCTTTTACATTGTTCTGTGCTTATAAAATAAAATGTCAAAACCGGATTTGAGAGTTAGAATACAACTAATAGCCTGTTTGGTAATCATGTTTTTCAACTTATTAGGCATATCGACAACTTTTTCACCGAACGCATAATTTTGGATTATGCGCGTTGAATTGTGTAATAATAAGAAAAAGTAAAGTTGAAATTATTTTACTGACTGTATTGGCTGAAGTAACTGTAGAGGAATATTTTAGCTATTTTTACATATTTTTTTTATTATATTAATAATATATATTTTCAAAATAATTTTTTCTTAAATCACCAAATTTAGCCAATTTAGTCACTTTGGTTAGGGATGGTCCGGATGGACCGGGCCCAGGCCTGACCGGGCTCCAGGGCGGTCTTGGACGGTACTAGATTTTTGGGCTTAAGGCCCGGTACCTGCCCGAGATTCTACCGGGTCCAGTCCGGGCCGACCCATCCCAGTCCATCCCTAACTTCGGTCAAAATTTCATAAATTTAAGCAAAATTAGCTAATTCAGTTGATTTTGGTATTAATAAACGGGCTCTAATAGTAGCGGATGAGAAAGCTGCAAATCTGCAATTATGTGTCTCCCGTAGGTTTAACAGTTTTTGCGAGATCAGAACCCACCAACGATTATTGTTGCTGGGGCAGGGGTGGTGCCACTGAAACAACACTCCAAACAAAGAATATCTCAATTATCATCATCATAAGTCTCCCACTTTTACCATCCTTGTACACCAATTATTTAATCAAGTAAAAAAAGGTATCTAAAGGCCTGGAGGAATGACCCTAGCAAAACCTCTAAATACACAAAAGAATGGGCTAGTCTTGTTGTTGTAGCAGCAGCCAGCCGCAGATACCAAACATCATAACGTATGACATGAGTGATGAAAGAAGAGAGTGACAATACACACATACAATGGCTCTACCACAACTAGCTCAACAATCAAAGCAAGGTGTAAGTTGGGGGCCCATGATGAGCTGAACCCGCAGTGCTCGAGGCATTTCCCATATGCATTTCTCGAGCAGGAGAAGGATCAAATGTTTCCCATTTCGTGGTTATCACGAAAGACCCCGACCCGCCCGGCTGTTTATGATTCCCGTTATTGCTGGCGGTCTGTATGGGAGAACTCTTTCTCTCATCCCCATCACTACTACTGCTACTATTGCTCTCCCCCATTGAGTTCTTGATTTTCAATCTATCAAGTGTCTCTACATACTTTTGGACTCTTCTCACCTAGCAAATCAAACAGTCCAATGCATATATAAAAATCACATCTTGTAAACCAAACTAAGTCTTTCATTGAGCTCTTGATTTTCAATTTATCAAGTGTCTCTACATTCTAAGGCTTTCATTATTTTATTATTTATCAAAGGGTTTAGGAGAAACCCCATGCTTTAATGTGTGGGTTGTGAGTTAACTTTACATACCCCACATCTCAACAAGATGGTGGCTTGTTCCAGCATACTTATCTTAAAGTCAGTATAGTAATTGTTGAAGCTTACTACAATCAAATCAGTTTTTGAAGCTTAACGTAACTGAGAAGTCAATATCATAAGAGGATTACTCCAAATGTCTCTTGTTTATTTGATGGATGTAAAATCGTTTGGGAATAAGGCTTGGATGTTGTTGTTGTGATGTGTGAAAGCTTAATATTATAACTACCTGCATTTTCCTCTGCAGTTTCACATCACCATCGGCAGCAATACCATCCAGTTTAAGAAGTTGATTCATCAACAACTCGATCAATGTAATCAGTGTCTTTTCTTCAACTTTTCCTCCTCTTGAAATCACAGATTCAAGCACAGATACCTGCATGTAACCCCATAATAAATCACCATTAAATTAACCGTTGTCATTAGGGTCCTAAATCAATATTTCAAAGGAGAACTATCATAAATATGTACATATACTAGTATATACTTGTACTTAGTAGTATCATTTTTCTTATACATTCTTTTTTTAATGACGTTGTAGTTCACATTTTTATTATATCTTATCAAATGTCGCCTATACACCTCATGTACTCTATTTATCATGAACACAATCAATGCAATTATTGTTCATTCCTCTCTTTCTATATAGAATCTATAGAGATTCAATTTGTTTAAACCAGGTTTCCGAAAAACCCACCCTTACACTTTTAAGATATTTAAATTGTGAAACTCTCAGCTTCTCCTCTGTCACTAACACCGTCTATGCGACTATGCACACAAGGAGCTGCTCCTAAATGATCACGCGTGCCCCGGGTTCCTACAACAGCTCCAAGAAGAGCTGCTCCTAATAGATCAGCACTTCAAGTTTTCCACCAATTTCAGACTCCCACCCTGCCGTTTTGACACATGACTAAATTCTAAGCAAACGATTTGCTGAGCTAAGCCCCTGGACTAAAGGGTCATCAATTGTGAAAAGTCCCCAATTTCGCCTCCAGTGACTGAAGTTCAGACCATTGAAGTGTGGGGGTTGGTTCAATTGGGGCACTCCTGCTTGTCACTCCACACAAATGTATGAGTTTATAGGACATTGTATAGATTAGCTATTCAAAATGATTTCAATCTTTTTAGTGCCTATCAGCCTATGTGTATTATGTTTAAATTATGAATTTAATTAGCTATGTTGTTGTTTTTCCTCTTTTCTCAACTGGAATTTGAAATATATACATAAATTACCTGCCCACCAAGCCTATCAACCTCCAAGCTGATCTCTGATACAGTTTTTGCAGCCTTCTCCATCTTAGCAGACTTCCTCATCTCAATATATCTCTTTTCTTGGCTGATGGGGTCTTCAATGAGCACAAGCTTGGACTTGTTCTTCACACCAGAAATATCAAGAAATGCAGTAGAGTCCATCTCCTTGTCTTTGAACAACAATTGCTGGTCCTGGTGGTTCAATCCCGTTGGCCCTGTTAACATCTTCTTCAACTCTCCTGTGAAAAGTTATATGTTACCCATTTCATCTCTTCTTTCTTGAATTATAAGGGAAAAAATGCAGATTTTGCTAAAATTAAACTGGACTTCCACAAAGCGTGGATAATACCCCGATCTCTGGACATCGATCTATATGTATTCTTGTGGCTAAATTTGTTCTAGATCCAACTTAATTTTTCCATTTTATGTGAAAGCACTATTTGGTCAATAAGTATTCTTTTTTTAAAGGAATAAGTATTCTAATCCTATAAAATTTACTATCATATTCCTACAAAAAAATATAATTTTTAAATGTACATAAACTTTTTAGAATGTACATAAACATTGTTTTAAACTAAAACCTCAAATCTCTTAATTCATCTGTTATTTATTTTATTATTGATAATTTTATGAAAAAAAGCATAATACTTAATGATTATACTCCGTATGAGCTATTTCTATAGTCAAAAGATTATATAATTGTTAGTAAGAATTGTTAAAATTTATAGAAAATGAAAAAAATAAAAAAGAAATAAAGGAAATAGCTAGGTGCTAGGTGGCCAGTCACCGCCCGACTAGTGTCTAGCCCCTTTTAGAAAACTGAAAAATACTGTCATTAATGGTCATTGTTTTAAAAATTGATAGGCGCCGATTAATTGGTCCAGGCCGATTTTTAGAACAGTGTTAATGGCAATAAATATTGTCACGTTAATATCTGGTACTGACAACTATATGCAGTAAGCCAGTAATAAGTAATAACTCCAAAATGACAATAAATACTACCATGTTACTCCTATTTCAGAAGAATTTGAATTCTACACAGAGGAAGACGCAGAGTCAAAAGCTTCAGCTAGAATTGCCTCTCCCCATCCTATTTCCGGAAGAAAAACACAAAAGTCCTATTTTGGATTCCAAAACCTGTTCACTCATATTTTTTGAACTTCCCCAAATCCTAATGGAGCATATGTGGTGTCAATAAGTTATATTCACAAAAAAATAAGGAACATTTAACTTTTATATAGGGCTATTATAGTATTATAAACAAAATAATGTTGTATGTGATGCGGGTGAAATTTCTGAAGCGTGAACGTTGTAATCCAATTAAATTCCAACAAATGTGTTATCTTGTTCTTATTCATTATTAACATTTTGGTTCATATTAATATATAGTTCTCTATAAAAATCTTACTTTACTATCTCCATACTAATTGCATTTATGAGATTTATTATAAAGTATGCTATCGACATGTAGAACGTAATGATGTTCATATTTGTACATGCTAATTCCGTATACTAGTTATTGGATGGAAAAAATTACTTTCGAAACTGATGAAAGCAATAACCTAACCTTTTAGACTTGGTTCGCTTCCACTAAGTTTCTTTTTGTAATAATTCCACTAATCTATAGAACTGAATTGGTCCTATGAGGCTATACCTAGCATATAAGTATTCATTTCAGTGAATAAGTACAAAATTTAACATTCACAGTTCTTTCACATCTTTGAATCCCTCATAAGTTTCTTTTTAGATGCATGAATCACTGATACGTTATAACTAATAAAAACAAACAAACAAACAATATAATTATACTCTGCATTATTGGAAAGAAAAAAATAAAATAAAAGACATGACTCACAATAGGAGTAAAACATGGACTAAGTATACATACAAAACTGATTATCTTGCTTCTAAAATGTGATTAATTTAGACCTAATAGAAGAGTAAAAAGTTGTCAAATATCTTCTTTTAAGAAAAATAGGTTTAATGCACCAGACCTCTCGCGACAACATACAAATTTTGCTCATTAATCTATGTAATTTGAAAATTGCGTCAAATTAATCTAAGTTATAATGAATCATGCACATAACATAATGAAAGAATGAATTTAATTGTCGAATAAAAAAATGTTTATTATTCTTATAAAATTTATTTGCAGGTTTTATGCGCACAATTAATTATAACAAATGGGGTTTGCTGCATTTTTTATTAATTATAACAAATGGGGTTTGCTGCATTTTTAAATCGCATGCATAGAATTTATAAATCAAGAACGGTTTTGGCGCATTAAACACAGAAAATGAGTTAAATTTTGGGATAAACATTTATTGTCTTTGCGTGAAACCGAGAATGGGACCGCACAATGTTAGTTTTTGTCTGTATTTGAGGGCTGCAAAGATGTGAAAGAACTAGGGGACTATGAATGTCAAATTTCGTACTTATTCATGGAAATGAATATAGTTATATACTAGGTATACTTAAGTCGTTCTATAAATTAGTGGAATTGTTACAAAAAGAATAATTTGTAATAGTTTTAATTTTGTATAGGACCTGTTCAGTTCTATACTTATTTTAATTTGTTTTAATTTTAAGATAAATTATTAAATTTATGATATTTGTGAATTTTTATTTCAATATTATACAATTTAGGACGAAAATAACTTTCAACAGTGAATCAAGATGTAATAATTCATTTTATGTTAACTATGAAATGTTATACTTCTTTAACAATTAACTAGTTATAATTTTTATTAATGTTATATTAATTAAAGGTACATTAAGAACCCCATGACTCTATTTTTCAGACTCTGCCAATGGTTTCACGTTTTGTAAATTGATCGACTGAAAACCGAACCAACTAAAAAGCGAATTGGACAAAACCGGACTGATGAATACACAATGTTTTGTAATACTCCCTCCGTCATATTTTACATGTCTTACTTTTCTTTTTAGTTTGTCCTAAAATAAGTATCAAATTTTCTTTTGTGAAAAGACATACGCTGCGTATGTGATTTGCAATATTTTACTTTATTTTACTCAAATCTCAACCAAAACGTTTAGTTTTTCAATCAATTTATTAATAATTGTGTCAAAACAAGATAAGACTCGACACATAAAATGGAAAGGAAGTACTACCTCCGTCTCATTTTATGTGTCTTAGTTTAACTTGGCACAGGTATTAATGAAGTGGTTGAAAAAGTAAAAGTTGTGGTTGAGGTTTGAGTATAATAAAGTGAAATGGTGTAGACCACATATTTCTTTCCAAAAGAGGAAAGTAGACACTTATTTTGGGACAGTACAAAAAGGAAAGTAGAACAAGTAAAATGGGAAGGATGAAGTATTATTTGACATTAGCCGAGTCATTATTTCACCATAATTTAGTCCCTACCTACAATTGCCATGTCGGGTCCGTGTGTATAATGCAGAAGTGGGCGACATATTTCTAATCTTCCACTGACGCTATCTTTTGAACGCGGAAACATGTAGAAAGGGAAAAAGTGCAAAATACTCCGTGATTTTTGTGTCTTTGATACTCCCCCTGTCCCTAATTTTTCTCCCATTTCGGCTGAGCACATTTACTAAGATAGCGGGATTTGTGTAGTGGAGAGTTGTGCAGAGGAGAGAGAAATATGTAAGAATGTGTAAGAATGGTTGTGAACCACAAATTCTTTGCCAAAAGGAGAAAGAAGAGATAATTTTGGGATAGACGAAAAAGGAAAGTTTGAAAATAATTCAGGGACGGAGGGAGTATACTATAGAAAATGGAAAAGAACATCATGTCTTGTTACTTATACTACAACAACCAAATACTCCCTCTGGGATGTTCCCGATTTGACCTACACACATATTAAGGAAATAAACTTATCGTGGGGTAAATTTTAATATTTTGACACTGTTTCGACACTATTTAGCATTGTATGACACCGTTTTGCAGTGTTTGACACTGTTTTGATGTAGGATAACTTTCCATTTAGGAAAATGGGAACTTCTTTTTGGGACTGCTAAAAAAGGAAAGCGGGAACATTACAATGGAACGGAGGGAGTATGTTTCTTAGTCAGACTATAATCTATAGTGTATTTTCTATCGATTGATAAAATTGAGAGAGTAAGACGTATTAGAAGAAAGAGTAACAATACAAACACCAAATATATTTAGGAGGAATTTGACCCTGGCTCTACTTTTTGGATGATATTAGACTTTGCATCTTATTTTTTTTTAAAAAAATTGGTTTTACATCACATCACATAACACTTTGTGAAGAAAAAATCATGAACAAGGTGCAAAAGATTTTTAAGTGAAAAATGATGCAAAAGTAAAAAAAAAAATTGGAAAATAGATGCAAAATCCGATATCCCCCATAAAGTGGTTTGTGGATGCAAGTCAAATTCCATCATATATTTCCCTAAAAAAGAAAGTGGCATTTTTTCGCAGGATCGATGAATTAGATAAATTCGACAAAATAAATAAGAATTGAAAAATGTAATTAAGTCAACTGAACAAAATTCAAATATAAAAACAAATAAACAGAGATTCAATATGTATATATATAGATTAATTCAGTTTGATCTAATAGTTTATTTTCTTAACACATTCATTCAAGTTCAATGAATCTACTTTATTGTCAAAGTGTCAAACTCATTTGTCAAAGAAGAAACTAAAGAAAGAAAATGATTTTACTCACCAATTTTCTTCCTTTCCATGATATTCCCAAGGAATAAACACATTCTAATTAACAATTTGGTACGACAATTAGAAAGGAAGATTGAGTTAATTACCGAAGGTGGCTTGGGAGCTGATATTGATCTCATGGTAGACCGACCCGTACTTGACCCGGACTCGGATACTAGGAAGAGTGGGTCGGTTATCCGAATCAGTATTTCTTTTCTGGACAAGCATCCCACAAGGCCTCATCTCCCATTCATTGCTGCCGGCGGCGGCGGCGACACGAGAACCTCCGGTCTTCATCTCCGGCGGAGGAACGGCGGAGAGTCTAGTCTTCATTCGCATCATCTTGGCTCGGAGCTAAGATATCTGTCTATATCCGACAGACCCAGAGCTAAATCCGAACAAAAAAACACACAAAGTTGACCCAAATTGGTTTCTTTATTTCAAAGCTTCCACCTTTACCAGAAGTATAAGTTCTTCAAGGTAAGAATGATTATCCAGGAAGGAAAGAATCGGAAGAAAATGATAAAAAAAATCAATGGGCTGAGAAGTGTCGGTGGCGGCAAAAACTTGCAGTTGAGATAGCAAAAAAAGTAGATTTCAGATCTTATATATACTCCCAGACCCAATCAATGACAACAAAATAAATAAATTCGTAGTAAAATGTAGAGGAATCAATAAATAAAAGTTTTGGGATCTTTCAAAAATCAGGAAATATAACCAAGCAAACGCCAAAGATGTACTCCAATTTCTGTTGAATATTAGTGAAGAATGTAATGTTTATACAAGCAAATAAATGTACACTAATATATATATAAACAAAATTCTTTAAAAGGATAAAAACAGCAATTTCTCTCCAATTACTTTGGGTGGTTCTTGTGGAGAAATGGTCCAAGGAGGAAGGAGACAAGAAGATGATAGCTCAGATACCAAACATTTAAAGATAATAATAATAATAACAATAAAGAAATAAGTGGACAGCACAGAAGCACAATGAAAAGGTGTACGGATTTTGCAAGCTTTTATGTATGTACTCCGTATAAGGATTATATAAAATAAAATACTAACGAAAATGCTTCTTACATAAATTTCACATTTTTCTTTTGGTCAGCTCCAAAATGAATTCTATATTTTTATTTTTGGTAAGTTTTTAATATAAATTTACTCTTATACCTTACTTTATTATCTACTTCACACTCACTTCCTTTAATTTCTCATACAGTCTCACTACATCATCTAATTTACTTTTTGAGGGATTTCATGGCAACGTCAAAAAAAAAATTATCAAAATCAAAGTATGAACTTTATTTGGGATGAAATGGAGTGGAACAATAAGTCCAAAAATAATGTTGGTGAGGCATAATAATGGTTGCCAAAATATAGGTAAACGAGGGTGAATTGAAAGGTGGCATAAGATTAAGCTTGAAGTTTACGACATTAAAATAAAACAAGTGGCGAAGAAGTCGGTGTTGTGGTTGAAAAAATGACAATAGTATGAAAGTGAAGAAAGGTGAAAGTCACCTGCAAATGGTTATGAGAATTGAGAGCAGACATGTGTACCTCTTTTTGGTAAAGACGAAGGAACAAGGAAGGGGTTTTTAGGTATTCGCGTAGGCAATCATTATGCTATGATGATGATGATTACGGTGCTAAATATGATTTGAAAGAATTAGGTATATGGTGGGATCATCCCACAGTGAGCACCATGCTCCACACCCAAAACGACATAATTTTGTACAATTTTTTTAAGAAATTCGTGTGAACAAAAACATGTGAACAATAACTGTTTTTTCTTTTCTTTTTGCCCCAGTAGTATTAACGATGTAACTCGCTTGTAAAGAAATGAAACTTACGTTATTGATCAATGTAATTCAAGTCTGATCGAAATGTAACTTCTCAAATACATAGTATAAGAAGTAAAACATTGATTTAAATGTAAACAATGAAAAAATAGTCTAATAAATAGTGTATATGTTTTGTTTTCAATATCAAGGCAATAAATATGATTTTTTATTAAAAAAATCTTTGAACAACAAGGGGCTTATATTGTGTTGTGTAACTAGCATTGTATTGCGGTGTAACTCGCATTATAGAAAATATAAATCACGTATAAGTGAGATGTAATTTGTTGAGAAAAGTTGACATGTAACTCAAGCTTATAGATGTGTAACTTTAAGCAAATCTAGATGTAACTTAAGTGTGCTCAAGATGTAAATTGAGAAAGGTCTAAAATAATTCATGGCAGTCACCTTCAACATGTAAATTGTATAATAAAAATTCCAATTGAGTTCTTAAAAGTTAATAAGTAAATTAAAATTCCAGTGAGTTCTCTCACCTTCTTTCTTTCAGAGTATTAGATGAAGAGATGTTCTCAATAATCAAACCCTATGTGCACAAAAAAAAATCAAATAAAATAGTCTCAGAAGTTTCTGTATATGAACAGAGCATGGCTTCGATGGACTGCATGGATGAGGTTGACGCATCAAATCTGCTATCAAGCTAGGCTGAGCTCCGCTGCACCGCCGCCTCGAGGATGAGCACTTGCATCGCCGCCACTTCCTCAACAACGAGTGTCATGACCAACTTCCAATGCTCTCTTTCGAAGGAATGCACATAGCCTCTTCAATCCAGTGTAATAACAATGGCGACATTTTTTACTCAACAAAAGATACCTGTTTTTTTAATCAATACGGACTAAGAAGCTGTTCTCTTCACCTGATCTGAATTTTTTAAGTTCTGATCTGATCTGAATTTTTATGATCTGATCTGAATCTTTCTGATCTGAATGTTCCTGATCTGAATGTTTCTGATCTGATCTGAATCCTTCTGATCTAATCTGATTTGAATATTTCTAAAATTATAATTATAATTATAATTACTATAATTATAAATGTAATTACACATATATAATTTAAATATAATTATAATTATAATAGGTATAATTATTATTATACGTATTACACTAGTTATAAATATAGCTATAATTATAATTGTAATTATATTTATAGATATATTTATTTCTATAATTATAATTTTATTTATAATTATAACATTTATTTCTATAATTTTAATTGTAATTACTCCGTATAATATGATAATAACGAAAACAAAACTAATAACAACAACAATAACCATAATAGTAGTAAGAATAATAATAATCATGATAATAATAAATATAATAATAATAATAATAATAATCATCATAGTAATCATAGTAATCATAATAATAATAATCATAATCATAATCATAATAATAATAGTAATAATAATAATAATAATAACAATAATAATAATAATAATAATAATAATAATAATAATAATAATAATAATAAGAATAATAATAATACTAATAATAATATCAATAGTAATAGTAATTATAATAATTACATTAACAACAACAAGAATAATAATAATTATTATTATTAATATTATTATAATTATTATTATAATAAAAGGGATAAATCATGTCTGAACTTTTCTGATCTGATCTGAATGTTCCTGATTTGATCTGAATGTTCCTGATCCGATCTGAATGTTTTGATCTGATCTGAATCTTTCTGATCTGATCTGAATCTTTCTGATCTGATCTGAATTTTTCTGATCTGATCTGAATAAAATAAGAATAAGCAATAAGTAATAAGATTAAGATGAACAGAACAGCTTCTAAAACTATGTCGTTTTGGGATCGGTACACCATGGGGATGGTGCACTGATCCCACGGTATGAATTGCGAGGTGTGACCGGTTAACTTGAAAACATCCACTAATTTTCGGTTAATTGTTGTTTTAAATTTTAATTCCTAATACCAGGCCTATAATCCTATTTAAATTTTACGCATTAACCCTTCTTTAAAAAAGCCCTCTTCTATATTGACAAAAACGTCACATATAATTATCATATTATTCTCTAATATTTTCCATTTTTGTATTCTCTACTAAATATATTTACCATCTCATTTAATACTTTCATCCACCTCACATTTAGTTTCTATCTCACTCACCTCTTTACTATTAACTCTTCAGCCATTCTTGGAGTATACAAATTGTACACTATCTGTATACATAGTCATTTTAACATAAAATCTTGTCTTTTAAACGAATCGTCTTTGTACACAGGCAGCTAGTGGATTGCAAACAAGTTATGTAATAATTTTGTGTACAACAAGAAATTTTCTTCAACTCTTTCACTTTAGTGCGGTACTTGATCATTCATTATTCTTCATTAACTTATATTTTCGTTATTCATTCTCCATGAATCCATCTTACCTCTCATCTTCAACCTCGTTAATTCACTCTTTCTCTGTCCGGTCATCTTTGAAAACCATTGGCATCAGTGGCGGAGCCAAAAAATTATGGTTAAAGGGGTCGGGCTTTAAAAAATTTAAATTGCAGGGGCCAAATTTTAAAATAGCATCACATTTTCTATAAATTAAAAGTATTTGTACATAATTTATACTTGAGAATTTTTTTCTTGCAGGGACCGAGGCCCCCTCCAGCCCCTCCCTGTCTCCACTCTTGATTGGCATAACCACTCTTTATTTATCCACATTTTTATTACGACCTACAACAAAACCCAAGATCCATGGCGGACTTATTATACGGTTGTAGTGATACGATTCATGAAAAAAGTGGCTTCTCGATTTGGTTGTGTATAATGTTATTGTACAAGGCTTCTTTTAATCTTCAAAGGATTGAGTGGTCGTCTCCAAATATGAAGACCCTTATCCTTCTTTTGACAACATTGTTGTTGCAAGTTTCATCTATTTTTTCGAATTGTTTGGATTTGACATATAAGATATTGTATAGTATGAGCTACCGGATTCGGAACTGAATCATACTAACCTCAAGTCATTGAACTATACAAGCTTTTAAAGATAAGATGATAGCAAATTACCATTTTCTCTCGCAGAGTCATGTTTTTTGGAATTGAAAAGACCAATGGTAATATGAAGTGCCGCTTTTTATAATTTAAGAGGAATTTAGTGCATTATCCCTTTTAATTTCAGATTTTCTCTTGCCTCTTTTTTGTCATTTTCTCTATTCCCTTAATACCATTACCTTCCTCAAACCTTTTTACTTGCAAACTACCATCTCTCTCTGTTTTCTCTATTTACGTCACTCACTCCTGGTTCTTATGCAACAACGAACCGTTATCATCCTTCCTAAAATTCACATAAGTTTGTTTCTCACCTTTCCAGACATCATATATGGCATTTGCGTATTTAGTGTTACAAGAAATTTCGATTTTCTTTCTTAATGAAATACTCTAATGTATAACCTCCGTCTTCGAACACAAATGCTACTAATATGAGGTTAAAGATTTTTTTAATTGCTACTTGTATTGTGTCCTTTTTTCGTGGTGTTCTATATCCATTTTATTTTAAACAATTGTGATGTTCCCCCAATTTCACTAGTTTCCTTAATGCATTTTGATAATTTAATTTCTTTAATTGGCTCATTGTAGTGGAGTATTTTTGCACTTTGCCTTCAAATTATACATCATCGCACTAATGCTTGAAATTTCATACATCCCTTCAGTGCTCTTAGTGCCCTCCTTGCCAATAAATTCACCACCTTTGACATAATTAGAATCCCAACACAAATGGTATATATAAATATCGTATTAGAAACATGGCTCGGGGATGAGGTAGTAGAATGCAATTGCTGAATAGTAGTAAAATATTAAAAAATCATGCTTGGAAAGTAATAACCAAATTGAGTAATAGTTATAAGGTAAGGAACTTATTAATGAGCCATCCAAACAATGAGAATCCATCCATTGATATAACGAGCCTTTTGGTACTAGACGTGTATCAGAATTAATGAGAATAAAGTTAAATGTATGATACAATAATGATTTTGTATTTGAGTCTGTAAATGAAAACAACTTTATACGTAGTACTACTTCTGTCCCAAAAAACTTTGTC